TCCTCGGTTTCCGCTCTCACGCAGACTTATGCTCGCAGAGCTTTGTCCGAGCGAGCCGACCCTCTGCTGCCACCGTCACATCCCCTGCTCCTTGTGCTAAAAACCAGAACCGGGTCAAGTCTGAGGACTCGTTTGACTAGATCTGATGCAAACATTTAATTTTTCCCAGATTCTGCATCTTGCATCAAAAGTTTGTCTTGTTCTGATCTTTTGATTAACACACATTTCAGGAAAAGCTTCAGATATAACTAAAACGAGGGCATTTGGGAAACATCAGCTCATAAAATCGCACAAATTTAAATATTTGACCGTTTTCTGATTTAAGTGTCAGTCTAATCTCATTACCCTGATGTCCTGGTTAATAATTGCGCAATACAATCTTGTCTGAGCTGTGATGGAGCATGCAGCGGTGTGCAGCTTCACTTACATGCGAATGATGTTCTTAACACTGAAGTTCTCCAGAGGTGCAACATCCGGGTTCTCTCCTTTATCATCCTGCAGGACGATCTGCTGCAGGATCCTGTCCAACAGCTGCCAGTGCTGCAGGCTGCAAGCGCCGCGTTTATCTGAAAAGGAATTCCACATTAAAAGGTTTGACGAAGATGGGAATAAAGTGCAGGAAGTGTGTCCCGCTCACATGGCATCTGCAGGCAGTGCTGCAGGATGGAGAGGAGGTGTGGGTAGGAATCCGTGTGGCTCAGTTTCTTCTTGACCAGCTCAAACATGGCGCCGGCACTCTTCGTGTCCACGTGGGGCTGGGGAAGAAATAAAACCAAGAGGTTTTGTCAAACGGGTCAAAAATGAAAGCAGTACGATTCCAAGTAATAAACAACAAAATGAACGGACTGTGTCAAATCTTTTGGCCAACTCCGAGTCATCCTCGTTTCGCACCATTTCAAAGAAGTCCAGATGCCTGCGGATAAGCAGAAACACGGATCAAAGCCCGTCTGCTGCCCTCATTAAACAAGTAATACCGTGTTATTAGAAATGTTTCTGTCTTTGAGACTTACCGTAAATCCTCTAATACAGGCCTGGGCCTGTATTAGAGGATTTACGGTAACTACTTTCTAGAATTGGCCGTAGAAGCTTTAAACCTCTTGCGCATCATGTCTGAAGCACGACGCCATCTCACCTGTCCAGAGTGGCATTTTCATGCTCTCTCAGCTTATCGATGACCGGCTGAATCCCCAACATCAAGAACTCGTACCTCAGATGGAGGCGAAACTCCAGACTGTCCTGAAAGTAAAGAGGAAAATGTTAGATGAAGAGGGTGAACTTTATTCTGCACGTTTTGGTGCAGCTGGCTTTGAAAGTGATGGGATTTTCAAATGCACGCAGACCTCTCCGGCTCCTGCGTTGAGCACAGCGTTGATGAAGGACATGATGGCGGTCTTTAAGTTGACCTCATCTCTGTAGCGACCCGTGCCTCTGTCCAGCTCGTTCAGGAGAGTCTAGACATTCAGCATGTTACTCAGAAACAAGCAAGCAGATGGCGTTTCAACAGAAACCAACCCACATGAAACGGCAGCGCTCTCAGCTCCCTAACCCTTTCCTGCCTCTCAGACTGACCCCAACGTCCTTAAGGAGCTGAATCATAACTCGGACCACCATTAAAGGCTTCATACGTTCTCAATTATTCAGCTCCTGCGGTGTTAGCGTAGTCCAAAGTGACGTGTACGAGGAGGTTTGCTGACTCAGTCCTGCTACGTACCAAAGGCTCGCCTCCATGAGTCTGAATGTTCTCCCTCCCCTCCTGTGTACGGATGTAAGCTGCAGCCTGAGGCCAAGCATCTGAGGTGCTTCAGGAGAAGCACTTAACTTCCTTAAATGACCACAGCGTGATTTATTTGAACATTTTCTTGAAATGCTGGGTCTGCCTCACGTCTCCTGCTTACACTCCGTGACATATGCACGCACTAAAGGGCCGGGCAAAAGCCCGAAACCGCAGATTTCCTCAGAACTGATTTTTGGGTTGTTTTAAAAATGGTTCTCCAGGTTTTGAACTTTGGCTGCTTTTACTTGACAGCAAATTATAAAAAAAGAAGGCAAGATCTTCAGAAAAGCCTTGAAAGACTTCAGGCAATCATGCAAAAGTGCTGTTTTATGCACAAAACGGTGGTTTCCTCACCTGGAAGCGAGTCCTCTCAGCAGCATACTTTTGGTAATGCGCCATCGCCTGCAGCACCTTCTTATGGCCGTCAGGTACCAAACAAACGGCCCCAAGAATCTCCAGCACCGCCACTTTGGTTTTGATGTTCTCAGTCCGTAGGCTCTGGGAGATGGTGTTGATGCTCTGAGGGTGGGCCAGGACGTGGGCGCGGCCCTGCGAGTTGTTCATCAGGGCCTTGATGCAGCCGATGACGGAGGTGTGGATTCGGCTCTCGGACGTCTCGTAGTCCATGCTGCGCAGGAAGTTGAGCAGGCACGTGAGTCCGTCGAGTTCGATGAAGCGTGTCACAAACCTGAAGGAGGAAAATTATTCAAAAGATCAGTTTAGGAAAAACGGATGTGGAGAAAGTCGCCATCGTCTTCCTCCGCTTATCCCGGTCCGGGTCGTGGGGGCAGCATCCCAACTAGGGAGCTCCAGGCCGTCCTCTCCCCAGCCACCTCCACCAGCTCCTCCGGCAGGAGCTCAAGGCGTTCCCGGACCAGATTGGAGATGTAACCTCTCCAACGTGTCCTGGGTGGACCCGGGGGCCTCCTGCCGGCAGGACATGCCCGAAACACCTCCCCAGGGAGGCGTCCAGGAGGCATCCTGACCAGATGCCCAAACCACCTCAACTGACTCCTTTCGATCCGGAGGAGCAGCGGTTCTACTCCGAGTCCCTCCCGAATGTCCGAGCTCCTCACCCTATCTCTAAGGCTGAGCCCGGCCACCCTACGGAGGAAACTCATTTCGGCCGCTTGTATCCGCGATCTCGTTCTTTCGGTCATTACCCAAAGCTCATGACCATAGGTGAGGATTGGGACGTAGATTGGCCGGTAAATCGAGAGCCCGGAGAAAGAGTCGAAACATAAAAGGGAAGAATATCGTTTTCCGCCAACAACGGAACCTTTTGGGATATTTTGATCCGTAAAATTTAAATTTGGACCAGGAGACAAACTGTACACATGCCTTAGTCACAAAGTAAATATCAGTTTCTAAACGTTCCGTTTGACAACTTTCGCCAAGTTTTATTGTGAATAAATCCTCCCATTCCAACACACCCACATCGTTCGTTCAGCAGAAACCTCCTAAAATGACCTCAAAACAGCAACAAAGGCTCCACTTTCTAATTTTAGCACCTCAAGCTGACCCTGCATCAGGTTCAAGGCCTTCATTAGCCAAACTCAAAGAAAGCAGCGAGTGAGTCCCTGACCTCTCCGAGGAAGAAATGACGAGCAGGACGCGTAAACACCGAAGGATGCCACGTCCAGAGAGCACGACGTGGGCCGCTTCCCACTCAGAACAATTCCTGATAGGCCTCATGAATTATTTCAAACAGACGAGGGTTTGTGGGATGGAGAGACGAGACAAAGAAGAGGGAAAAAAGAGATGAAGGCTGACTTTTGGGTCAACTCGTTGTCAAGGCTCATCTTCTCACACACGACGCTTCTCAGATCTCAAGCAGATTTCTGGGGATAAAACCACGAAACCACCCGGCAGAATCATGTTTTGATTTGCAGCAGTGATGCTGATGACAGCCAGCTCTACCGCACGGACGGACACCTTCACACGTTCTCAACGACGCTCTGAGATCTCAGCCTTCCATCAGACAGCCTCAGAAGCTTCAGCCTTCACACCAAGGTGCTGAAACATACATCTCATGCATTTAATATGACTTGATTTAGATTTAACGCAGACTGCTGTGAGAGGGAGGCGGTCCAGCTGTAGTCATTGCACACTTTGAATACGTGTTTGGCCAGAGCAGACAGCAGGAACAGCCTGACGTCTGCCCCGTGCACCAGAGGACGACTGTGGAAGAGAAATTAGGCTCAGCACACTTGTGATTAACGTATGGAAAGCCGAGGGTGAGAGATGTTGATCTTGGAGTCTGAATTCAAACGTGCGGAGGCGATTCAAGGATCTGCACACTGCCGTATCTCCAGCAGCTCGCCAGAAACACGTTGACCTGATGCATCTGTTTGTGCTTATGTGAGAGGCACGTGGACGAACAGATGCATGTTAGACTTTTGCAAACACATGCCAGCGTGTCTCTTTAAAGAACATTCACCTGCTCAACAGTCCTCTCCATTTAAATCCATGAATGTCCTCCTGTGTCCCAACCAAAGACTCAGCTGACGGGCGTAAAAATCAAATCTGTTTTCTGGAACGAGTGCTTCGTTCTCCGGACCTCGTTTGGGTTTAATGACAGCTGAATACAAGATGAGCAGAGCAACAAACGAGTGGGTGTAAAAGGTTCTTGGACAAAAAGCCGGCGGCATAAGAAGCGACTGGTCGAAGGGAATGTCAGGTGAGCCGATCGAAGAAAGCCCAGAGATATTTTCTATTATTACATCATTTAATGACGGCTATTGTTGCGAGGGAGCAGTTTTCGAGGGTCGTGCCATTTCCACTCATCTAAAACGTGGAAAATCCCAACCAGAGGCCGACTATATTCCTAATGAGCGGGAAGGAGCGGAAAACTAATCCAGATGCTCACATTTAGACGCAGAACTCAAATCCAACTAGGCGGGCCGTGTGAGGGTTTAGATTTGGAGGTGAAGCCGTTTTCGTTTTGAACTGAGGTCGACCCCTGTGTGGCAGACAGCCTGCCTCGAAGCACGACCACACCAACTCCAGCGCCTCCACACGCACAAACTCCAGTGATCATGAGCTCTCTAGGGCCTCTCTGCTGCCCGTCACATCACCAGCACACACTCACGGCCTCCTTCCAACACCCCCTCACCTACGCCCAGGGACACACACATCCACTCACACAGACGAGAGTCCCGGGAGGCTCGGAGGAGGAGCCCATCACAGCTGAAGGCGTTTGCAGGACGGGGATGAGGATTAAATCAAATCAGAAATGTTCATTTTACGACAGTTTTCTGCACTTATGTCACATAAAAGCTCAACAAAGGACAAGAGCACAAACAAATGTTTAAGGGCACATCTGTGGTAAATAAAACAGGATAACGACATGGACAGAATGGTTCCCATGGACTGGAAATCCACAGGAAACAGCTCAGGTGGTCCACGATGACCCCTAAAGGTGAAATAGCCTAAATGTCTCCAACAAATAGGATTTCCCCCCAAAGTACATTCATTATGCCTTTAAATCAACCTCAAAGATGTGTTTAAGGCCATAAAAACATTAAAATATTCTTTAACGAGTCAATAATTGAGTGAAAACAGAGGAGCTGCTTCCTGCAGCTTTAAAAAGCTGCTGCTGCTTTCGTCTTATTTTTTGGTCCCACTGTGAGCAGATTTATTCTGCAGCAACGTTAAAATTAAGAAGCAACTTTCCAGAAAATGGTTTCAAACATGCAGAAGAATACCATGGGAAGGTTGGAAAAGTGGGAAAACTGCACGTAAATAAATAAATAAATAAATACAATCAGAGGAGGAGCAAGCAGCCGGATTTTTAACAATAAACCAGGTAAAAGGTCCAAAGGGGTTTTTTCGTTGTTCTGTTTATGAGCGCTGATGAAACAGCTGATTAGTTGTGAGGAGAACGGTTGCTGCAGAAGATCCCATTTTATTTTCTCTAAGGAGAATCACAAAAAGCGCCATAAAACCGATTTATTTTTCTTTATGTGGGTTTTTATGAGGGACTCCGGAGCCGTCTGCGTCATTCCTGATGTTCGCAGCAAAGCCACCCCGACTTAAAGACCGCCAGGATAAACGAGGACGAACCCTGCTAACGGCCACACAGAGCATCCAAACCAAAACAAAAGCACCGGGGATTTTATTTTACTTTTAAAATCGCCAAGTCTTTTGTGTGTTGTTGACCCTATTCTGGTTTTGCACGTGAACTGTGTCCCAGCCGGAACCTTCCCTCGTGTAAATAACCCTCCGCTGCCGAGTGACGAGGTGCAAAAGGCCACAAATGTGGAGTCTGCTTGAAATGCCGAGAAACGTTTGAGGCTGGAGTTGTTTTAGGCGGAGAGAAATGCAGCGTTTGGTTTGTGCTGGTCTGCGCTGCAGTTGGAGCCCGTTCCACGTCACAGATCACTTCTGGTTTCTCTAAACTAAAGCGTGCCGACCACCGTCTAAACGAGGCGAGACGTCACACGAACCACGCGTTTATGTTGACGTGCGAATGTGCGGCTTTAACTGAAGATTCAAACTATTTTATCTGAGGAGTTGGAACTAAATGCGTCTCAAACAGATTTTATACGACTGTTATGAAGTACGGCTGAAAGTACCGAGCAACCCACGTCAAGACACGATTCTCCTCTGTTGTGTTTTCTAACTGAAACAAAAATGTCACCCTCTGCTTAGAAAGATCTGGCTGCAACAAAACCTGCTTGTGTTGGTATCAGATCATCCAAATCTGGAGGGTTACTGACACAGTAGCGGGGGGGAAGTGACTGCAAACTCAATATCCTTGCTGGAAGCGATGTGCAAAAACATGATCCAGGCAGCCGTCTCGGGAAACACAGGGACGCTCCACTGATACGAGACTTGGACTGCAATGCATCTTGGGTCAAAAGCCCTCAGTGACCCGAGAGAAACGCCTGATCGGGATTTTAATCTAGGGGACCAATCAGGTCTTGGATGCACAGATACTCAAATATATAAGTTCAGGAGAGATTTTAACCCTTTAACTAGCAGGTCAACAGCTTGGTGGACCCATATTTCAACCATATTTGTAATTCAGACACAAACTTAACTAAGAAACAAACCTAGAAAATTTAAATCTACTGAATATGGAGATGTTTTCATAAAAAATAAAACATTACTACCTTAAATTAGTATCAGTTTAAAGGGGCATTATGGAAGTGTGACAGCCAAAACATGTATAGAAATAATAAATGTCTTCTTCATACGTTCTCCTGCAATGCCCTGGTCCTGTAGAATGAGCCCTGGCATTTTTACTGTGATTGCCTGTTTTTCTGTAAAATCACAGAAAAAGAGAGCTGCTCGGGTCGAGCAGGCTGCTTCATGCGCGTTCACGCTCAGGCATCGCCCGTAGCATTTGCTATCCGTAGCTTTAGCAGCAGAGAGAGAGGCAGTGCCACTTTGTCGCTGTTCCTAACGCCTAGTGACAAAGCTAGCTACATTTCTGAGGACCCTTAGCTACTTTCTGTAGAACTTTCTTCTAGATATTTCCTGCTAATTAGCAACAAAACAGCCATTTTCACTCCGAACCGTTCTTTGGTTTGACGTTGTTCCAGCTGTCATCAAGGATATAAATGTTACAGATACAAAGGATGTCACTGGTGCTTTAGCTCACCTAGTAAATCGGTGGACTCCCGTGCGGAAGACCTGGGTTTGATTCTGGATGTGAACACAGTCCAAATTTTTTATTTGAGACTCGCCGAACGGCATTGAATTGACAGATAAAAAAGATGTGGGTTCAACTTTCATTTTGGAACAATTTTTCAAGCAAGGGAAGGGAATGATCTGAGCATGCAGGAGGACTGACCCATCATAAACCTTTGTCGGCTGTGCTGAAGAGAAAGCTACAGAACCACATTATTTCATTAATTAGCTGCACGTTCTCCTGTCCTCTGTCCTCCGGGCCCCGGAAACCCTGCCAGAGGACACCAGATGGTTCTAAACACCAGTCACTGTTTTGTAGGTCCGAACGTTTTGTTTTCCGTGACTTCAAACTGTGTTTTTCCTTTTGGGACTCGGGTAAGTTCAGGGGTTCGGCGAGAGCAACAACCGGATGGTGCGATCGTTGATTTTGGTCTGAAACGAGTTATTAGCAGATGTTTTTAGACAAATGTGAGAGAACCACTTTAATAATCTTTATATTTTTAATTTCCACAAAAATTTCTGAACCCGAGTCTGTGTTCGTATCACTTTTATCCCTGTAACGTATAGACGGCCCCTGACTGACACGCGTCACCGTGTCATTTCCTTTCCACCCTCTGCGTGAGCGTGAGGCTCGCTCACAACGAGCCCTCTGTGTGCGCTCGGCCTGGCACGCTGCATACCCACCATGTGTTTAGCTCCCGTGGCCCTGCAAACCAGGCTGAGGGCAACAAGGGCCCCTCTTCACAGCCAACGACCAGCTGCTTTGGTAAAGGCGCCAGAGGAAAAGTAGGGGGAGGTCGTTTCAGGCCGGCATGAATCAGACACCGGCTGGTCTCACAGGACTGCGTCGTAAAAACCAGCATGAAACCCACAGAGGGGAAAGAAGAAGTGGCCCATAAAGTCAGCGAGATGCTCAGATTTCTGCCAGACATCTAAGCTCAAAGCCACCTTTCTGCTTCGGACACCCATTTGTCTCCTTTTTGACAAAGGCGGGACATTAACATGCTGCCCCGGTCGTCCCTGGAGCTCCATAATCCGTGGGACACACCTGCTACCCACATCACGTTTACAGTAGTGAAAAACATCTGTGTGGTGATGAGCCATAACTCATCCTGTGCAGGTGCCTCATGAAGAGCGGTCGCCGAGTCGTTACCGCCTGATGAGGTCGATTATCTGAGTAAAGTTCAGGAGGGGACCAAGATGAAAGAAACGGAGGAGAAAGGGAGATCCTCAAACTCAAAAGGCTGCAGACGCTTTACAACTCTGCAGAATTTGTAATCATTAGAAAATTGCTTTTGGTCTTCCCTTAATGCCCCAACAGGTATGCAGGATACAAATATAGCAGTGAAACGGTAAAACTATGAACACATTTATGAAACGACCAAGTATTTAGCTGAGATTTTTAAATCACTAAGATGCTAGTCATGACTCATTTTAATAATGAACCCATGCTTTTTAATTAAAAACGAGAAATCCGACATTTTCTCATTTAAGTTGAAGGCTGGCATAAGGAAAATCCAGTCCAGGTAAAATAAAGTTTAATAAAATCTAGAAAAGCAGGTTTAGATGTTAAAGCCGCCTAAAAGGTTCATCTAAAAAACCCTAATAAATAAAACTGGAGGAGTTTAAGTTCCTTAAGGCTCTGGATGTTGTGGGGCTGTGTTGGCTGACGCGGCTCTGCAACACCGCGTGGACTTCGGGGGCAGTCCTGTGGTCATGAGCTTTGGGTAGTGACCGAAAGAACGAGATCGTGTATACAAGCGGCCGAAATGAGTTTTCTCTGAAGAGTGGCTGGGCTCTCCCTTAGAGATGGGATGAGAAGCTCGGTCATCCGGGAGGGGCTCGGAGTAGACCCGCTGCTCCTCCACATCGAGAGGAGCCAGTTGAGGTGGCTCGGGCATCTGGTTAGGATGCCTCCCTGGTGAGGTTTTCTGGACACGTCCAACCGGGAGAAGACCTAAAGGTAGACCCAGGACACGGTGGAGGGACTATGTCTCTCACCTGGCCAGGGAACACCTTGGGATTCTCCCAGAGGGACTGGTCCAAGTGGCTGGGGAGAGGGAAGTCTGGGCCTCCCTGCTTAGGCTGTGGCCGAAAATGGATGGATGAATTAAATAAAGTGTGATCCTTTCCTTACGGTTTTAATTGTTATTTATTTATTTACAGCTTTAATTCTGGACTGGTCCTTTCATGGGCACAGCTGATTTTAAATACGAATGATGAACAGAGCGGTGATCGTTAAAGGTACAGAAATCTGATCACAGAGCCTTCTTTAGCTCTTTTCTTGTTCATAAATAACAGATTTGTGTGATTTTGGCCTAGACTGAATTGGTTAATAAAAGTTTTTAATGAAGCTTTAATCATTTCCCACATATGTAAGAAACCAACTCAAACGTATAAAAACACCCAGAGAATCTAAAAAGAGACCGACTGTTGGGATGACAAGCTGGTTGGTTCCTTCGAACTTTGAGATGAAAGACGTCGGCTGATTATTTCCCAGCATCTGCTGCTGATTATTTCATTAGGCGGGTAAACAGACGACTGCAGACATGTGCGACGCAGACGGCCTCGCCAGCGTGGCTGCTTCTGATTACCTGCAGAGAGCTGTTGGATCCGAGGCCACAGCAGTCAGATTAAAGAACGGAGCGGACGGGGTGAGGGGGGGTCTTTACACATTATGTCTTATTTCACCAACCAGAGCACAAAGGCAGCTGCGCTGATGCACTCTTGGCCTGTAAACACACAGCGCCTGTGACCCAGTCCTCAGAGAGATTTATTCGTCACTTTGCACATTTAATCTTTCACTTTGCATCTTTTGAAATCACTCAAGAGCCTCGATGGGTTCGGGACAACTTTAGAATTAAGAAGCTGCTGATGGAGGGCGAGCAGCTGCTTACATTACAGGGATGTCCAGCATCCGAGCGCTTCGCTGTGGTGATGAGTGCAGCAGCTGCTGATGTCAGTGGTGGAAAAAGGAAGGCTAAAAATATCTGTCACTGGTTGGAACTGAGTTGGAAGTAATTAAGTAGGGTAATTTATAATAAGAGGCACGATTATTGTAAGCTGAATCTTTCCAGTAGTGTGTTGAGCTGTAATTGGTTTATGGGGCATTACCTCAACAAGTCACTTTGCAGGAATGCGTGACTTGTCTGAGAACGAAGAGCCTCGTCTGCAGCCGGAAAACACGAGGAGACTCACTCACCTCATCGGCTGAGTTCGGAGTGCCGTCTTCAGATCTTCCACCACCTTGTTCCTCATTTCCATCTCCTCCTCGTCGAAGGCAAACAACGTCTGCATCTGCAAATGCACAGACTCAGATTTACACCCAGCCTTGGCTGTGAAGAGATCCGTTTCAGTTCAGTACAACACCAACATGTCCCAGCTGACTTAGACCCAGTAACACTCGAGTCGACGACTTACACATATTTCACCAATCAGTGCTCATTTTCCTGCTTTTGGTGTCGTTTTTAATCAAAAAAGCGGTTTGAAGCTAAACAAGATGCCAAAAAAGTGAAGCAGGCGACTAGCTCCAATCAAGGTTACAACAAACAGGGCGAATAATAAAACGGTGTTGGTGTTAACGCATCTCTGCATCACTTAAAAGCTTCGACTTCAAAGAGCCGCTGTGCTCCCATTAGTGGCAGCTTCTGTTTAGCCTCAGCAGGCGTTTTCCATCACAGCTCGGTGGCAGAAATCCAAACCGCGTTACTGTCGGTTTGTCACAGCACCAAGAATTCAGCAACACGGAAAAGGACATTTAGATTTGCTCAAACTGGATCTTCCTTTCCAGTCTTTCCAAACGAGGCTCAGCCAGGCGTTTAGTTGATGTCTTACATCGGCTTCCCTCTCTGCAGTGTGACCAAGTGTTTAATCTACAAAACGCTGCAGTCAAAACATCCATCGCTTCAACTTAATCTCAAGTCCAGACAGTTTAAAAAGCCCGAGGAGGCAGTTCTCTGGGCCAGTTCCTCGTGTCAGCGAGTCTGGCCAGACGACTCCTTCCTACATCTGCTATTTGTAAGCTCATACCTGTGGCCAGCATCCACACAAGGATGCCATTATAGCCTGTTGGTAAACCAGCAGACGGTACTTCCCTACATCGTTATTGTGGGAAGCGCCTCCCAGAGCCAGGAGTTTGCCTTCGAGCTGCCCATCAGAGCTCTGGTAACGAATGACTGACGATCACATGGGACGTCATTTGGACATCACAGATCGTTGATGCTCCAACTAGAAGTATGGTTTTAATACGAGAAGAGGGACATTTTCTGCCAAAATGGAAATTTAAAGCCTCCATTTTGTGCCTTCCAACTTGTAAGCGTGTCAGATGATCCATCCCATCCCAGGTGACCGTACGAAGCCTCTTTTCTTCCACCAATTCAGCTCCATTATGGGTTCATTCTTCAGCTAAAGTCATCCATTCACCAGGTCAGAACATTTGAATTATTGCTACGTGGCCGGCAAACAACCTCAGAGCTCTGACGTGGCTTCATGAATGAACATCAAGACGCAGGTCATGAGGAAGTCTTAAAGACCAGCGGAGCCAAAATGAGATCATCCACTAACTCCGCTACCGTAGAAGGTCCCTCCCCTGGGAGCTCCACCACGCGCCAAGACATGAAGTAATGGAGTTCCCTGTAGAGATGTTGTCTGGAACACCAACCGGGGAACTGGTGGCAGGACCAACAAACGGTTTGGTCTGATGGTGAAAATGGACTCTAACAGGTAGTTTTCGTACAAAACGGGGAATAAAAAATGGATTTTTGTAATACGAAGAAAACGAGAATCTCCCACTTTCATGATTTGTTGTTTCCATCGGCCGAGCCTTTCATGAATAAATGTAAAGACATGGGCCAGACTGTGCATATGACAGACAAACCCTGCCCGCCGTCACCCGTAGAAATCTGAAGAGCCCAGTGGGCGGTTCCCACCGCCGTCGTCTTGGTCTCGTCACGCTCGGAAAACACAAAAATGAAGCTGAGAGCGAGGCTGCAAGGGTGGGGGCAGATGATCGACATCCAGCAAACTATGAGTTAATGTAGCTGAGCTAACTGAGCTAACCCCAGCCAGTGGAGGTTGGCGGGCGCTTTTAGCCAGAGACAGCGTTTGAGCGACTCTGCTACCCTCCGCCTTCCAGGCCGCAACACTTAACACGAGGTTGAGGCCGAGGCCTTCCCTGGGGCAAGTAAAGGGGAAAGCTGCTAGAGCTAGCGGCTCATCTGCTACATGTCAGTCAAAAGGGTTACGCCCCTACATGTTCACCAGACGTACGCTGTGTGATTTCTTTTACCATTTAGAGCCGATTTTCTCGTGCGAGAGTCTTCGAGGTCGGGGCGAGTTTTGCACCTTGCGTAACGAGCGGAGATTTAAACCTCAGGTCGTATCCGAGAACCGGGTCGTGTGAGAAAATGATCCGTGAGCTTTGCCTGGCGAGGAAGTCGTACGGTTTGAGATGGAGCCGAATGCCACGAGTAAAACACGTTGCATAGCGTCCGCCCGGCTTTACAAAGAATTCACCCCTCTCAGAGTTGTCATGGCGATAAACTAGACCTACTGAAGCTAGAACGGTGTTTGAACCAGGCTGTAAACACCAAATCAGAGGTTCCCCTTGACATGGGTACCATCACGGCGACCGCCGTGCCAGTTTTTCCTGTTGGATGCAGGGATAACCGGGTTCTTCCTCGGGAATATGTTTACTGATTAGCAACCTTGTTTACATCACAGCTGAGGCGGTAGGATGTTTCACCAGAAAAGCTTGTTTTTCTTAATTTGTCTCATTTTTGTGGACTCCTTGGCAATGCTTGGGAGTTTCCAAGATCTAGAACAAACTATACGCAACAACAGAATTGAGTGGCATGACGTGACTGCACAGGCTCTGAAAACCCTCAGTAAGTTCAGACTTTCATGTGAAAAACAGAATATGCATGAATAATTTGACTTTTTGAGTTTTGCAGACGATGAAAGTAAAAAGAAGAAGCTGAAACATAACTCTGACAGCACGCCCGACACCGAATAGCAGAGAGGCACGGCTGCAGCCCTGCTGGATTTCACATCCTTGGCAGCAGCTCACAAATCAGAACCTTCTCTGTGCTCCACTTACAGTGGAACGCCATCGGTGTGTGTCTGCTGCTCAGAAGCCAGCAGTAGACGACAACTTTACTGGCACCGCTCAGGTACTGGTGGTGTTCTGTCCACCCCCCCGATCTCACCCCCTCCGAGCCACGCCAGTAAACAAAAACAGCTGTAAAAACAGCAACCGTAAACACGACTGTTGCTACGTGCAACTTTTCCAGAAACATAACCAGCGTGGTAATAAACAGTTAATGCTGAGGGTGGTTTACGTTTATGGTGGTCTGTGTAAATCACAGCTGAATGGTTTATCTGATTCTTGGCCAGGGGAGATTTATAAATGCCTTAAAAATTAGACCGTTTGGTTTAATATAGCAAAGTAAACACACAGAAGCGTCTCACAGGGGAACGCACCGAGAGAAAAGCAATGGAAACAGTCTTCCACTCGACATCTTCCTCCTTAAGTCTTGAAAGTTCTCCTTTAATGATTTCTAAATATTTGGGAGCTGACGAGCCGCGGGTCAGAGGTCAAACTGGTGAGTGTCTAGTGGCCTGAATACTACGACATCACACAACACCGGTAAAATGAAGGTTTGTGACAGTATCGTGCCGTTTTTGCTGCTGGAAATAATGAATGTTGTCGACTTGGCCTGGCTCCGTGTCTCTGACAGTTATTCCCACTCGCTGAACTGCAGAGTGTCTAAATGGCCTGTTTGTCATCTGTGTGTGTGTGTGTGTGTGTCTGTGTCTGTGTCTGTGTGTGTGTCTGTGTCTGTGTGTGTGTGTGTGCGTGCATGCGTGCGTGCGTGTGTGTGTGTAGAGGTCAAAAAGAAGTAATGTGGTCATGTGAATCTAACCAGCAGTCAGCAGGGACAGGATGAAAATGTTCAGAGAGAGAGAGCAAGAGCGAGCGAGCAAGAGAGAGCGAAATAGATCAAAAGAGAGCGAGAGAGAGAGTGCAAGAGAGTGAGCGACAGTAGAGCAAGTGAGAGTGAGAGAGTAAGAGAGAGAGCAAGGGAGAGCGAGAGAGCAAGAGAGAGGGAGAGAGTGTGTGAGAGAGAGAGAGAGAGAGACAGAGAGAGCGAGAGACAGAGAGAGCGAGAGACAGAGAGAGAGAGAGACAGAGAGAGAGAGAGACAGAGAGAGCGAGAGACAGAGAGAGCGAGAGACAGAGAGAGCGAGAGACAGAGAGAGAGAGAGACAGAGAGAGCGAGAGACAGAGAGAGCGAGAGACAGAGAGAGAGAGAGACAGAGAGAGCGAGAGACAGAGAGAGCGAGAGACAGAGTGAGAGAGAGACAGAGAGAGAAAGGATGGCCGAGCGAACGCTGACCTCTCAGAAAACAGAACCTTGGATAAAGTTGACACGACGGTTTAAATCTGGAACGGTGACGAGTTAAACTTACAGCCGCCATGGAGTTGATGCGGTCGATATAGTAGTCCGGCCAGCTGGTGGCCAACTTGTTGGGGTCCTCTTGCTCCTGGACATGAAACGGAAACATTAATGTTCTGTTTTTGTGCAGACGTGGTGATTTACATCATGCTGAAACAGACGAGTGTGTCTACTTTAAGCCAAAGTTTGGTCTGAACTAACTGATCAAGGCGGGGTGTACGGGTAAGGGTCCTCTGGGTCAAGAGCTGGACGTTTACTCCGACTTCATTCATCAGATCAGCAGTCAGAGTTCCTTTCCCCAAACTGATCAGCATCGAGTTAAAGCTTCGCTAAACTCAGAGAATCTATTATTAACTATTCAAGCTAGTTAGCCAACGGCCTTCACACATCCGACGACATGATGAGCGAACACGACTCAAGGAGATACAAAAACCACCTTTTGCTGCCGTCCCATCTGGTCCCATCTGGAGCTCAGAGAAGCACAATTATCCTCCCTAAAACTCGGATTAGAGGTTCAAACGAATGAGTTTAAATCCTTACGTCTGCCAGAAGTCGTGTTTTTGATGCAAACCTCACAGATCCTTTTCAGGCTGTGGTAAAAAATTAGAAGAAGAACTAAAGTCTTTGTTTTCCGGATGGTTTGTCATTTACTAAGTGCTATTGCTCTTTCACAGACATCAGAAAAGCTCCGATTCCCGGCACACAAACCCATTAAACCCAAAACCTCCAGCCATGTGACCGCCTCATTTTCTACAAGCCGCAATAAAGAAGGGAAGCGCTCAAAGGCTGCACTCTTAATTAAAACGCATGAACTTGATGTTCCTTCTGTGCAATAAAACCAATTATTAAAAACAATACTTTAATATTTGTGCAGAGTTATCACACAAACCCTTCCAGTGGTTTAACTCCATGAGGAAAGTGGTGTGAAGTGGTTTTAATAAACATTAATAATCCAGAATTAAAACATTAAACGAGCAGCAGATTCAGCCAAGTTCCAGATTTTTGAACGGTTGTAAAACTTTCCTGGACCGGGTGAGTTTGGTTGATGCAGCTTTCAGTCCCGGCAACGACCGTTGTGTCTGAACGCAGCCCAACACGCGAGTTCAGTCTTCAGAGCTAGAGAACAACAGAAGCGACTGTGCTGCCTGGGCTGCCTGGGCTGCGTCGGTTACCGCCGCCACGCCAGACAGATCCCGACGCTGAGATTAACAACTCCGCTGCCTTTTCTGCAACCCCTGGGCCAAATCAGAACATTTACTTTGGCACTTTTACAAGCGGTGATTTTCAACATGTTTTCCAGACAAATTAAACACGACGACAAGGTTTGTTTCAGGGGTCACGCTCGTATCAGTCTACACACTTCCTGAATTTAGGGCCTTTTGAGCGCTGAAGTGACGCTTTAGCCGGTGCCGGCGTGCTGCTGGCTCCATCTGACGACTCCGAGTTAATCACGGTTGATGACAGGTTTTAACGTCCAGCGATAAGAAGTCAGACGTTATCGAACGGCACAGAAGCCGACTGCGTTTGTTTTTGTGAGGATTAAACTTCTCATTAGACCTGAGAAGGGATTTGTTTTGCTGATGCTTCCCTGCTGGAAGAACCGACTCCAGCTGCAGCAGAGCGAGGTCAAACCTGTCGCTACACATTCCTCGTGTTCGGAGACATTAAATGTGATTAACGTCGTGCACCGCGGCAGGGAAACACAAGAGTCCCAACAGCGTGTCGGATACATCTGCAGGGTGTTTAACGTATTCCAACCATCTCCTGTGAAGACCGGAATGCCTGAGCAACGCCAGCACTCAGGCATATTTCTCCGTCTGTTTGGCAGGCTACCGTGTTTGCAGAGGCACCTGTTGAAAGACGGGATGAAATTACACACTTCAGCTTCCCTGCTGTCATGTAACAAGCCGTCTAAAGATTTTGAACCCCCTCAGAGGTTTCACCGACCATCATAATCGAGTTCACGCATGGCAGGAATCCTGTGCACATACAGCCTTCGAGGTAAGGCTTCAGGAGCAACGGGAGGTGGAATTCCAACTAGTCCGCACGGTCTGACCAAAAGCTCCCCCGACGTGTCCCAACGACATTCTTCTGTTTCCACTCACCGTAGGAAACGTTTCATTGATGACCAAACTTGTAAAAGTATCTGCTGTGTGTCTGCGACGCACATCCCAACATCCCCGCAGCACGGTGCACAGCAGCATGATCTGGAAAACCCGCTCGTTTTTCACTCCTTAAAACTTTCTCTCATTGTTTGGTAACAACTTCGGCGCCACCCTGTCTGTTTTTGATCTCGGACAGGATCAAAACCGTCGCATTAACTCTAAAAGACAGCGCTAACGCGTTTCCATGAGGCCCTCTGGCTCCTCTGGGGACTGGACTGATTGCTGGGTGCCTCGTTTTCTGTTCCAGCGTTCCCAGAGAGGCCCGGGGAATTCTGGCTACACAAGTGGAGACCCTCAGGAAGAGCCCAAAATCATCACGGACGCAGAAAAAAGTCTGAAGAGGCGAGGCTTTATTGGACTAGACTATGGTAAACAGCAAAAGCCTGCAGCCGTGCCGCTACCTCAGCACCTGAACTGCTTTACTCTGCATGCACGAGGCTGTGACACGTGCTAAAGATGACTTGGACTTGGATCTTTCTTTCATATTTACTTCATGTTATATCATCAAGAGACATCTATTCTGGGGAGTTTGTTTCAAAAGATGAAGTTTTTGTGAGAAACATCTTTAAACTTGGTGTTCACTGGGCTCTGTGTGGACATACGGTTACACTCACATACAAACCTGCTGGAGGTTGCCATAAACTTTGACACATGGCTAAATTATGATTTTATCAGCTGAGACGTCTTTCCAAACTAAAACTCATTCTGAACCGGCGCCACCTCGAGACGACCATTCACGCTTTCATCACCTCAAGGTTGGACTACTCCAACGCAGTTCTGTTTGGCATTTCAAAAGCCGCATGATCTCGCCTTCAGCTGATACAGAAGGCCACAGCAAGGTTTCTGACCAATACTGGCCGCCGGCAGCACATCACTCCAACTTTAGCGAGACTTCACTGGCTTCCTGTGCACTACCGTATACGTTTTAAAATGTTATTGTTTGTTTTTAAGGCGCTGAATGGCTTAGCACCATCTTACTTATCCGAGTTACTCCTCATGTGCCGGGCAGGACTCTCTGTTCAGGTGACCTACACCGACTACAGATTCCCCGTCTACGCTGCAAAACCCGTGGTGAACAAGCTTTTTCTGTCTGCGCTCCGAATCTCTGGAATGATCTCCCGCTGAAAATCAGACTCTCCCCCTCCATTGGGGGTTTTAAGTCTCACTAAAAGACTTTTATTCCCTTGCTTTTACTGCCTAGCTATTCCATCTAGGTTAGTTTACAGTTCTTTTACCGATTTTATTGACTTCTCTTGTTTGGCTCTTTGTGCTATGCTCTAGCTGTTTTATTCTTTTATATTATTAGTTTAACCTTATATGTTTGTACCCCTGTACAGCACTTTGGTCGGCTCACATGCTGTTTTTAAATGTGCTTTATCAAATAAATGGAATGGAATTTTTGGACAAACCGAGTCCATCTTTGCTATAAATTGTTGGATTGAAGTTTCCAGTAATGCTAAAATCTTCTGTCTATAAAAAAAAACTGGATGTGAAGAAAATATGCACTGTTAAAAAAATAAATCGGACCCGGATTCGCTGCATCATCCTTGCACACTCACTTTTTCACTGTTGAATGCATTTGTAGTTATTCAAGTCACGATTTTCTCAATATTCAGAGCTAAAGCCTTCACCACGAGATGTTCCAGTAATCCAACGTGTCCGTGGGGAGTATTTATGCAGTGAAGCCGAGATATAAGGTCTCACCTCATGAAACAGGAAGTAGACAGGATATTGAATTCTGAAAGCTTATGAAACACTTGCACCCCCCCTCCTCCAAAACAGGTTGTGATGTTAAGCTTTTCTGCACTTATCCAGGCAGATATGTTGGTCTTGGATCACATTAACTGATGGGCTGAGGCGCATGTGACTGATAATTGGAGACATAAGTTGCTGTGTGGAGCTGCTCTACCGTAATAACCGCCAGCTTGAGTTATGCAACGGCATTCCTGATGGATCTGGAGATGTAGGATAACGTATGGTTGGATAACTTTGGGTCAGCGAACAGGAAATTCTCTTTTCCAAGAAAATTCTGATTCCTTTTGCAAAGAGGTTTTACTCCAGCGAGGAGATTTATGTTATGACAACTTTTTATATTTAATTGAAATTATGATAAAGGTGCAAATTAATTTTCTAAGATGTGGAAGACTCACAAAAAGCTTAAAATATTAAATTATAAAGGCTTTTCCCTTGCTCTTGTGTCAGTTTGAGGATCTTAAAAGTTTTTAATTTGACACTCGGAGGGTATTTTATATACGTTTTTAATTTTTATACCATTTCTTTTTCAGAATGGCAAATTCCTTTACACACTGTTGCTACTTTTACATCTAAACCTTGAAAACTGGATAATTATGACTTTAAAGAATATCTGAGATGCTTTGTCTCCCTTTGAGTCAGTCTTTTATGTCATTTATGACTTTTTGAGGTATATTTCTGGAAACTTCGGCTTAAGCTACTGCCCCCTTGACCTGAGCCTGGACTAGAGGAGGAACGTGCATGGATGGATGGATGGATTTCTGGAATCAAATTCAAATTTTTACTCATATAAACTGAACTTTGAGCAGTTTTATGTAATATTTAATAAATTAAACATGTTATTAAGTAGTGTTTCAGTTTGGTTCAGGACAGCCAGTGTGACCGCGGCCTGAAGACACGAGTGTATCTTTGTGCATCAGAACAACGCGGCTCATAAGAGTCGGGCAGAAACCCCGTTTGGCTTCCAGCGCTGCTCGTTCTCATTAGACGTTACGTTGTGTTCTCTACCTGCAGGAGGCTCAGTGTAAGCCGTGCACCAACAGGTCCACACACATCCCAGCTGGCATGAAGGCAAAATGCCCCAATCGAAACGGACTCGTGCCAAGCCTGTATGACACTGAACATCTGTAATACCACCAGCTCACTCCCAAGCTATCAACACTTGTGGCTTTAGTCGAGATTAGAGGGTCAGGAAAACATTTATGGAAGAAAAATGCAGAATTGCCGTTCTTATAGGTTTGAATACTGGGGTAAAAAGCAGTCGTACTTTAGAAAGCACACGTCTGCAGACCTGAGTGTTAGTTTAGCTTCTTGAACGACATAATTAGGTCAATGAAGGTCACTTTAGATGTTTGCTAGCTTGTTTTGAAGTTTTCTTTCATGGATCAGGACCAAACAACGTTGACTCCATACTACGCATGCAAAGTTGCATAAAAGTTTTAGCATTTTTTTTAAAGGGACTTTTTGGACTTTTGAATTTTTATGCTCGTGATCGCCCCCTCAGGCCAAAAGCGTAACGACAGCTTCAATAGTAGGCTCGTGCACGAGGCGCGCACGCTGTACGTGCACACTCCTTAACGAAAATAACAGCTGAGACAGTCCCGTGTGTGTGTGTGTGTGTGTGGGGGGGGGGGGGCGGAGGACAGAGGACAGGAGAACACGCAGCTAATTAATTAAATAATTTGGTTCTGTACCTTTCTCTTCAGCACAGCCGACAAAGGTTTATGATGGGTCAGTCCTCCTGCATGCTCAGATCATTCCCTTCCCTTGCTTGAAAAATTGTTCCAAAATGAAAGTTGAACCCACATCTTTTTTATCTGTGAATTCAATGCCGTTTGGCGAGTCTCAAATAAAAATTTGGGCATCTTACTGTAAAAAAATATACCATTAATGTAAAAAAGAAACTCTAAATAAACTATGTTCACATCCAGAATCGAACCCAGGTTTTCAGCATGAGAGTTAGCCATCTCGCAAGGTGAGCTACCCACCTGTAACATTTAAACTGTCTGTAACATTTATATCCTTGATGACAGCTGAAACAACGTCAAACCAAAGAACGGTTCGGAGTGAAAATGGCTATTTTGTTGCTAATTAGCAGGAAATATCTAGAAGAAAGTTCTACAGAAAGTAGCTAAGGGTCCTCAGAAATGTAGCTAGCTTTGTCACTAGGCGTTAGGAACAGCGACAAAGTGGCACTGCCTCTCTCTCTGCTGCTAAAGCTACGGATAGCAAATGCTACGGGCGATGCCTGAGCGTGAACGCGCATGAAGCAGCCTGCTCGACCCGAGCATCTCTCTTTTTCTGTGATTTTACAGAAAAACAGGCAATCACAGTAAAAATGCCAGGGCTCATTCTACAGGACCAGGGCATTGCAGGAGAACGTATGAAGAAGACATTTATTATTTCTATACATGTTTTGGCTGTCACACTTCCATAATGCCCCTTTAAATTGGTGTTTTAAAGATGGCCGACTAAACTTAATGATCCGTCTCAGTATTTTTGTCTGGTGGTAACTTAGTTGGCTGCTGCTAACCCTTCCTAGAACACCCGTGAAAAAGAGCTCATCCCAGTGGGACCTTCATGGTAAAAATAAACGTAGTGTGCTTTGATGTTTTCAGTTATCTTTTATTCGTTTTATATATTTATTTATGGGATTGCATGAACGTGTTGCAGCCATTCAGGGTTAGGGTTAGCATGCTTTTCTCCAGGTCTGGTTTGCTCCCACAGGTCAAACGTGCACATCAGGTTAATTTGCATTAATGTTTCATCCAAAACGGTTTCAATAAAAGCATCTGCCACATAAGGTCTTCGTGCACACTAGTGCACGGAGGCCGACTGAAACAGTATGTCTGGCTCATAGATTCCCATTTACAACTACACCATGTTCTTCTCAAACCCTTTTGTTTCCTCTTTGTTGAACTGTGACTGACTTAATTCAACCACTGCATGAATATCTAAAAAAGAAACCGCTTATAAACTTTGATTCATTTATTTACATTTAGTTTAAAAAAGGGGCTTCACATGGCGCCGACTTGTTTGCACCAAGATGAACCATTCATGTGTTTTTGGTTTTGCAATAGATATGTTAAGTAGGTTTTTCCAGAGTCCAAAGTAAAAAAAAAAAGCCTCCGATTCTCATTCTGGGTGTCATCTACCCACAACAACAGGAGCCGTCTCTCCTCTGGTGCAAACAAGAGAAGCAGTGTTGGCCTCGGACGGGCGATCCCAGGGAACGTCTGCTTTGTTCAGATCCCACTCGTGTGTCGAGTCGGCAACAGAGGGCACTGCTGTATGGTGCACTTGTGTCTGAATAACCTGTAGTGGAGCTGGAGTTTTCCCCCAACTGTATGTGGTTCTTCGTGCTTGTGAGTGCAGTTCACACACACACACACACACACACACACACACACACACACACACACACACACACACACACACACACACACACACACACACACACACACACACACACACACACACACACACACACACACACACACACACACACACACACACACACACACACACACACACACACACACACACACACACACACACACACACACACACACACACACACACACACACACACACACACACACACACACACACACACACACACACACACACACACACACACACACACACACACACACACACACACACACACACACACACACACACACACACACACACACACACACACACACACACACACACACACACGAGAGCAGGTTATTATCCGATATTGCACCCCGGTTGTTTTTTCTTTCCCCTCATTCTCCATTACGCCGCCTCAGTCCATGAATGAGGGGTTTGTTTGGATTTTCCTCCGGCTTTCCGTTGTTCGGCGTTACCTTGGTTTTGCTCTCAGTTTCCTGGCCTGGACATGATATTTTTTTCTACTTTAACTTTGCAGAGGAAATGATTTCTGACTGGGAGAGATGGGGGTGGAACGACAAACTAATATATCCTAGCTCTGAACCCGGCTTAGCTGCACACGGTTCCAAAGTGCCCGGGTCGCGGCCAACGTTTTGTTTCCATTACCTTCTTCTGCAGCACAGACAGTCCTCATAAATGTCTGTGGTTGCCTAAGTGAGTTATTCAATAACCGATTCTGGAGTATTATTGGAATTTTTTGTGGCTTCACTTGTGCAAATGAAAATTGTGCCAAGAATAAAATCCCTTTTGACACGATGTAAAGAACCCAAAGACACAGCCGCTCATCAGAATGTAATAAAAGACCGATCGCATCTTCCTTCTGTGTCTTTGTGCTGCTTCCATCCTCGCCTAGACGTCCCTCGAAGCGTTCGCTTCATTTGTCTTTTTGCAGGTAACCAAATACAGGTCAGAGCACACACTGTGTGCACATGCAGGTGCACACATGCACGCACAAAGGAAGTGTGTGTGTGTTTACACCCTTTAACAAAGGATTGTCAGAGCATCACATCAAGACGAGCTGGCATGGATTTGAAAGGGGAAGGCGAGGTCTGATCCTCATCCTGCTTCAGTCGAAGGCAAAGAGACACGCGAGTGGGTTTAGGACTCTTCATTCAAGCTGCAGCCGAGCGAGTGGATCCACAGAGACGGGCCGCTTTACTTCGAGCACAACCAGAGAGGGACCAGGGCTGTGAGAGACTTGAGGAGGATGCAAAAATGGGTTGAGGAAAGAACCAACGGTGGTGATAAAATGGCTCAAGTATGAGTAGAGCTCTGCAGCGTTTCGTACTCCTGACCCCACATTTCTCAGTTGGCACGTACCAACGGCTGCATAAGAGTTTGAGCATCACACTGATGCTGTAATGCAGATATGTTTACGTTAAATCAGAAATTAAAGCAGAAAACGGAGCCCGGTTGTGTGGCCCACTCACCTTCTTCTTGCTGCAGTAGATCTGCCATTTCTTCTCGTCGGGCAGAGCGAACATGGCCTCTCTGTTCTTATCTGTTAAGTCCAGCTCGTCCTGCAAGAAAAGCATGAAAAGTTGTCATCTCCACAGTTCTTCCTATGTTTTCACAAAGAGCAAAGATTAGGGAAACATTTATCAGCAGTAGCTCAGGTGGTAGAGCGGGTTGCCTCATGATCGGAGGGTCATGGGTTCGATTCCAGCTCCCACCAGGGGTATCCTGCTGTTGTGTCCTTGGGCAAGACACTTCACCCAACTTGCCTGTGTTAGTGGTGGTCAGAGGGGCCGACGGCGCCAAATGGCAGCCTCGCCTCTGTCAGACCTCCCCAGGGCGGCTGTGGCTACAAGTAGCTTACCATCACTAGCAGTGTGTGAATGTGAGAGTGTGTGAAAGCGTCTTTGGGGGTCTAGAAAAACGCTATATAAGTTCAATGCATTATTATTATTATTATTTATCAACACCCCGACCCTTTAAACAATTTAGAAAACACACAGGGTTCGGCCTTCTGACCGTCTGGCTGAGAAACGTCTCCGACCACTGGAGAGCGTTTTAGAATTCACCGAGCTGCTCGCCTCGATTCTTCATCGGAGCACACGGAGACCCCTGCACCTTTTGAAATGCATATGAGCCCAGGAAGTGAGCGTGTGTGCCAGCACGGAAAAGTAAAGAGTTGGAAAACAGAGGTGGACAAATCCGACGTGAAGGGAGTCAAATGAAGGACATGCAGGGACAGAGAGACACACTGAATAAAGAGCAAAGTGTGTGGAGGTGGAAACTGACGGGAGAAGAAAAAACAGGGATGAGCGTCTCTGGAGCCGAGGCTCAAACTAATCTCTTCATAATAGCTGTGCTACTATGACGTCAGCCATGAGCTCCTGGGAGCCCCCAGAATGAAGATGGCCACCCGGGGTTTGTTTTTGCCCACGCTGCTGGACGGGGAGGGGGGGGCTGACACTTTGAAGCGTGACATCATCTCTCACCCGCGACTTCAGTGGGATAAACAGCAGAGGCATTGCAGTGGTTTTGGAAAACAGGAAAATAAATCTGAAGGGTGTGAATTTAAGAAGAGGGCCCGACAGAGGCGAAAGCCACAAAGACGCTTCAGAAGCTTTGGTCACGGCGTTCTGAATGCAGCAGCATGATTTCCTTCATTACACAAGAAGAGCTCGTCTTCTGGGCTCGGTTTTGGCTCCACAGATGAATGCCATCCGCGCTCATTCCAGCGGTAGAATTCAACATCTAACCTCCAGCTACGTGTTGAGAGTTTCTTCCAGACTCGGATCAGCGTCTTCTCTTTGGATTGCTCGGAGTCCAGCTCGGCTCTGGCCTGTTGCCTGGTCACCAGGTCAGAGCCCTGCTGTCCAAGCTGCCGCTCTTTGGAGGAGCCGGTGAGAATCGGTGGGAATGAGATCTCTGGACGCGGACCAGGCGGGAGCGGAGCCCAGCTGAAAGTCTCTCAGTGAGAGGGTTTTAAATGGAGCGGCTCCTCGTAAGAGCGGGATGGAGACTTCTCGGTTTGGGCTTTGAGACAAACACTCAGACGCAGTGTGAAGTTTCACTGTGACATCTGGACATTTTAAATGCTGCATTGAAATCAGAAACAACAGCCTGGTGAATGTTATATACAATAATGTTGTGGGGCAGCAGTAGCAGCGGGTTGCCTCATGATCGGAGGGTCAAGGGCTCAATTCCAGCTCCCGCCAGGGGTATCCTGCTGTTGTGTCCTTGGGCAAGACACTTCACCCCACTTGCCTGTGTTGGTGGTGGTCAGAGGGGCCGACGGCGCCAAATGGCAGCCTCGCCTCTGTCAGACCGCCCCAGGGCGGCTGTGGCTACAAGTAGCTTACCATCACTAGCAGTGTGCGAGTGTGAGAGTGTCCTGAAAAGCACTATATAAGTTCAATGCATCATTATTATTATTATTATTAGATTTTTAAGGCATTTGCTGTCCTGAAGCTGCATTTTTAACGCAGAACTTCTCTTCAAAATGGTTCACCTATAAACTCTGTACTATTTCTCCTTTTTTAAACACAATGGATAACTGATAATGGGGAAACGATCAGGCCAGTCGTTACTACGCCCCAGAGAAAAGTTGCATTCATGGCCCCGCCCACATCGGCTTGTCTGTATTAATGTAGCAGCTAGGAGAGAACTTCAGGGTTCATTTCAAGGTCCTGGTTCTGGTCTATAGGGCCTTACATGGACAAGCACCATCTTACATTGGTGATCTTCTTAGTCCCTACACCCCCAGCAGGTCCCTGAGGTCCAGTGATCAAAGCCTACTGGTTGTGCAGCACCAGGCTAAAGGTCAAAGGTGACAGATCATCTGCTGCTGTGGCCCCCAGACTCTGGACCTCTCTCCCCCTGAGCCTGAGATCAGTGGACTCAGTGGTCTCCTTTAAAAAGCAGCTGAAGACTCACTTGTTCAAGCTGGCTTTTGTATGACCTTCTTCACCTCTCTCTCTTTATTCTGCTCTCCCCACCTATTCCACCTTCCTCAGGATCCACTGATTTCCCTCTTTCCTGTTCACTCTCTCTCTTTCTTAACATTTTTTAATCACAATTGTCTCTTTTTGCTCATTTTAAATATATTTTTAAACAGTTTCTAAATGCTTTTTTATATTTTTACATTTTTTTTGTTTTTGTGAAGCGCCTCGTGATTTTTATCTCGAGAGGCGCTATAGAAATTATATTTTCTTCTTCTTCTTCTTCTTGGCTAGTAGTTAGCGTTTACTAGCAATAGCCACCCCACAACATGATGATCCCCAAACTCAAGACAGCATTCAACCCGTTTCCAGCCGAGAATCACGAGGAGCCATCTCTCATCCCAACAGTCATCCCAACAGCTTCACTTCTGTAGATTTCAAAAGAGAATTTTTGTAGAAAAGGAAAAGTTAAGGAATTTCAGATGTGGCGTGTTTAATGTGGTGGTCGTCAGTTTCAAGCAGCGCTAGCCTTCTTGTGAGGGTCGGAAAAGGAAACATGAAGTTGAGGATGAGGACATGGGAAAAGCGAAGGAATGTTCTCGTAATGGAAATGAGAAAACCTTTATTTTTCAGTTATGCAAGAACACTCCGGTCTCCTCAACCTCCATCTTTCCACTTCAACATCGAATCCACATCACATGGCCCGCCTCGCGACTCAAACGAAAAGAAAATTGCAATTCCTTTTCTTCTGCCAAACAAAACCAACGCTTTCTTCTTTGTTGCATAAAACCTTTTCCTGGATGTTCCCCGTTTTTCCAACACCGGCACATTTCAGTCGGGAAATCACATAAACCAAAGCTAATATTGTTTCACCTGCTCCTCGGGAGGAGGAGGTTCATACCACACAAGCCAACAAAATACTGCAGCATTTTCTCCCGAGATGTGGCCGTGGGCTTCGACTCTCTTTATTCATATCCTTGCTGAATGACTGTGATGCCTAACGTCCTGCTTCCAAAGCTCAAATGTGCCGATTACACCTAAAAGACACGGTGGTGTTAAAAATAAAAGCAGCTTTTGTAAACCAAAACATCTCCAGAAAGGTAAGACTTTAGGTGCTGGCGAGAAGCTAATTAAATGTTGGTCATATAGCGTAGCTTAGCACCGTAGCTACTAAAGTCAGGTAAAGAGCGCTGTCAGATTATCCGAATATTCCCAGTGAGCATATTAATTCAGGAAGTTGAAGAGCCAGATGAGAGGTTTGCAGAAGACAGCAGGCTTTGGAGTCGTACTTCCTGATATTTGGGCATCTTGCCTCTGATTGGCTAACAGCAGCATGACTACCATTGACTCTGGTCTGCAACGCTCATGTTTTATCTGCACAAATAACACAAAGCTGGAGGAGTTCTGCTCTGTGGAGGAGTTGCTATTGCTAACGGTTAGCTTCTTCTAGCCAAGACGCGCTCTGCTCTCTCCTGGACACTAAACAAAACAGCTTCCCTGAAAGGGGCCAAGAAAGGCGGGTCTACGAATGCTCACTTGATAATACGACGTGTCGCTAGTTTTTCTGATCCAAGCGCTTCCTCGTCTATTTTCTATCAGCGACTAAAGCAGAAAATAGTTCTTCCTGCATGTCAAATTCAGAGTGACATGTTTTAGAAACAACAAGTAAAACAGTTGCTCAGCCAACCTGGCCTAGGCGGTGAAAAAGAGGTGAAGTGGTGAGATTATTTAAAAGCAGGGCATAAAAGTGGGCGTGTCTACGAGGGCTGGAAACGCTCAAGTTTCCACGTGTGGGCTAAAGGGACATCCTCCCTCATGCGTGGTTGTAGGATGTGTTATTTCCAGAGTGGAGACGATTTTCTTGTGTTTAGCCTTGCAGAGCAGGATGAGAAAACACATCTACTGTACACGAATCAGGCCGTGGCCTCTAGATGAGACGCTGAGGCTGAGGGAAGCAAGACAAGATGGCAGGAAGTCATAGTAGGACTCCAGGGAATCCCACAGGAAGCTGTAGCGGCCATTATCGACCCAAACAAGATACGGCGGGTTTGAGAGAGAGCGAGTACGAGAACTACTTTTTTGATTGAGTGCTCTCGGTTTCACTGGCTTTGCTTTGTTCAGAAGCTTTCAGATGAGTCACATTATCCACTCTTTGATGAGTCAGTCAGTAGCTGTTGCTAGCCAACAGCCCTGGTCTAAACAAGGCTCGGCCACTTCAGTGATGAGGCTGACTCGGTAAGCACTGGCTGTACAACAGATGTAGGAAGCGAACATTAAAACACTGGAATGCAGTAAGGCAGGGAACCGTCGCAGAGGGAGGGAAGCGAAACGGAAAAGAAAGATGGGTGCATCCCAAGGGCGTGCACGGGGAAGGAAACTCATCCCCACTGCCCAGAGGGAGGAGAGCATTTCCATTCACTGCTGTTATGCAACAATTTTTTCAGTTTGCATCCGGCTAAAAAGTCTCCCTGGTTGGAACATTGGAAGAAGATCGATGTTTTTAAGAATGATGTTTTCCTGGGAATCGCACGACGGGGGTTTCAAATCAGAACTGCCATTTCTGTCATCCCAGCTTCGAAGAGCAAGATTTTCCCTTCTACACGTGGCGACTGAAAAACCTATAGAGTAGA